TCTAAAGCCAACCGTGCACTAAGAAAGAGTTCTACACTGATTCGACGGAGACGGGATGGGGAACATAGACGGAGAAAATCCAGAAATTTTCGATGTGGTTGTGTTCTCTGAGATGGATAGTCAATTTGCGAAGCTTTCATCGCCCTAATAGGCAACATAGTCACCAAATACTTCAATTTGAAGTGAGCTTTTAGAGTTCTCCACGAGTTTATTAGGCATTCATCTCTCCTGGTGGTGACCCTGAAGGTCGTTGGTTGTTTTTATGCGCTTTTATACACTCTTGGCTACTTGTATTGGAACTGATTTTTTCCCTGACCTAAACTTTGACTCTTTGTGTGTGATATTTCCTTCTTATCGATGTGTCTACTGATTGACGGTTCACTGGAATACCAGGCTTGTTTCCTCTGTCTAATATTTGAACATTGTTCCAGTCGAATTGAGTTCTGTCGTTGCCTGAATGCAGTGGTATGGGGGAGTGGATGTCATGTCTTTTGACGGCTAGCTTATGGTCATGGATACGAAGACGAAGAGGTGGGTAGTCCACATTGGCCGATGTAGTGTTTTTCGCAGGTGTTACAATTTATTTTGTAGATACTGATGTTTGTTTTATCTTCATTCGTTGTTGAGTCTTTTGGTTGACATAGAACTGAAGGAAGTCATCTTGTTAGTTTGTGTGTGACGTCCGTTCCTAAAGGTTTGAAGAGTCTTGCAGTGATTTCTGAGATGTCTTTTATAAATGATAGGGTGATTTTCTTTGTGTTTTTCTTGGGAGATTTTGATTTGATAGATTTGGCTTGGGGGTATATATATTCTGATGACATTCCGTAGATATCCATTGCCAGAACTATAAATATCATCCAGCGAACCCCTAAATTGAAGCACTATCAAAAAGTGGAGATGTTAGGACGGACTATATTTGCTGGCCCTAAATTCATGGCTGGTGCAATCAATGAGATATTGACTATTTATCTATGTATGGTTTAAATTTTCGTAGACTTTTAAGTGAGAGCTTACTATGTATTGGGAATAATAAAAGTTGTTGTTGTTGTTTCTGTGAACGTGGTTTTCTCAGTTAAATCTAACTTCTGTGCGTCTACTCGGTGTGTACAATATTACGGAGTGATCCGTTATTTGGATGCGATTTGTAGTCAAGTTAGTAGACACTCACAAAATCACTTACAGTCCGTTACAAGCAAGCCACTAGGACACATTCCAAACTACTGGACAGGTAATTATGCATTGCTTCTGAGAAGAAGGCAGTACACTGGTTTCGGCCCTTTTCAAGACCAGAATAGAATGTATTGTCATCATGTGGAGCAACCACTCCACAACCCTTTTGACCCTGGTGAAGAAAAATACACTTGGGAAAGTTGAAAAATGGGTTATTAATAATAATACCTCAGTCAAACTTATCATGGCTACACTTTAACTGGTGAGTATTTTCTCCTAAGTTTAGATTTACATTTCATTTCATTTTTCTCATATTCATCCCTACCAAAAAAAAACCCGATGACACTGTACACATTTCCTGTCATCTGCTTTCCACCCCCTTCCCGCCTTCCCTAGCCAAAAATTAAAAATAAAGAGTTATGCAAAATTTATTACAACTTACAAACAACTGTCAAGCTTTCAAATTCATCTGACCGCCTAACTCGCATACAAGTGTTTATTAAAATGGGTATAGTTGTCTTTTTTTTAGATTTAAATCCCAAAAAAGACTGTACCAACTGATGGGAGGTAGTAGCCAGTCTGATCGGTTCCTGTGTTCTTCCGCTCTCCCACTCTCTCTCTCTCCCTCTGTCTCTTTCTCTCCAGAAAGAAATATCTCCTCTCAACATTTTTGTATGATATTATTATTATTATTATTACTATCCTTACCTTCTCAAACCTACAAATTTGCTACTCGCAAATCCATTTTCCTCCCTCCCTCTCTCTCTTTCTCTTTGTATCTCAATGTTTACTTTCATCGATGTATATGCGAAAAACATTCTGGTATAGGCCAACCAACAATCTTTCGTCGTTTTCACATTCATTCATTCATTCATTCATCATATCGGTTATTTTGACAGTCAACTGTCGAATTTTATAAATTGTTTGTTATATCGTAATTGTAAATTCAGCGATATATATATATATATGTATAGGCTGAAAAGGATTAGTAAAATGGTTTGTTCATTCGTCTAGCTCATAGGCATTAAGCATTAATCTAGCTGAAACGGTTTTCGATTTTCCCTCCATCTGTCCGTCTGTCGATCTGTCTATCTATCACCATTCTTCTTCGACTATTCTCATAAGGTACTTCTGTAATCTCACTATATTTGTTTATCGTTCTTTCATTGATATTTATATACGTATAGATATACTTTTTTTCTCCAACGGTTAGTTTGGAGGCATATGATCAGTCTCGGCATGCTCACTGGCTGTGACACCAATTAGAGAAGCATTGGAAACTAGTAACTACCGGACTATACAGTTAACTGTGTTTTTTTTATCACAGTTTGTTAATGTTCTACAAGGCCATCAGCTTACAATGCGATCATTTAACCACTGCAATGGAATCCAATAGTGCATGAATTCTAACTTCGTTTAATCCCCGGATGATAGCCTCACTATCGGAGGCGAGTGTCATCGAAGAGTGTTTGTTTGCACACACCCCACCCTGTTGTCCCCACTGGTCCCGATTTCTCACTAGAACTCCAGGCAGCTCTGTCGTGTAGTTAGTCACTAGTGAGCATCAGAATAATCGCAAATTGACAGATATTAAAATTCACAGACCATTAGATTTCATCCCCCCTCCCCGCCGGTTGAATGATTAAACGGCCTACTTTGTATCCTGAAACTTTTTACTGGATGGCTAAGTTTCGAAAACAATTTAGTGATTGTCCATAATCATAGTATAAATTATAACTATACAACTTCGAAACTTTCGTTTATCTATTTTTCTTTTTATTTCTTTCTATTCGTCAGACGCATAGTAATAGAATTTTTCAGATGTCCGCGGTGGACAGGTGTTGAGTCGTTTTTATTATACGCACTTTTGGTTAATTCAATAAATAAAGCTTCCGTAAACGATCTCTTCTTCCACATAGAAATGATATCTTATCCTATCCTATTGTACGATTTTTGCGTAGTGGTATATCAGAACTCTTCTCCGCTTATTCCGAATGACTGACCATTGTCTACTACTTTGACCTGACAGTCATTTCAGGCAGGGTATTAGATAAACTAAATTATTTTGTTTGTACATATAGTTTAGGATGTATGTAATTAATTCACAAAGTGCCTCCATCACCTTTAATAACCAACCTTGAATTAGAGTTGTGTGATGAAATAATTGATTACAAGTCATTAATGATACTAATTTTGTGAGCTGACATTAATTAATAAGTGCTCAGTAATGGATAAGGATGCTAGATTTCTATTCAGATTAATAATTGCATTGGGATTTCCTACGTGTTTTAATCACCATTTTGGAACATGTTTTTTCGACTACAAGACAATGGAACATTCTTTTGATTCTACTTATATAGGTATTGCCACAACTGTGGATAAATTTATAGATACAGTTTGAAGTAGAGTCTACAGAATTTCATCCTTTAATCGTAGGTACAGGGGTCGAAATGTTCGGCATGTGAGAGACTGAGACGCGGCTTACAGTGTGCGTTTGATGACTGACTGAAATCTTTGAGGTGTCAATTGCATATAATGTGGTCACCCATTGAATGGTATGTTAATAAAGACACCTTTTTTGGTACAGGCTGCACCGGATTGATCGTTTAAATGACAAAACTTGTTTCTAATTGATTCTGTGGTCGACTGAATGTCAGTCAGTTTTATTCCTTCCTGCAATGTTAACGGTAAATTCATTCAATAATTGAGTGTGTGGTATTCAGTCAACCACACACTCAATTACATTATTGTCACCTACAATCGCCTTCATTATTATGTAGAATTCAGTGATGACTGTGTCGAATGTAATGTTATGTACATAAATACCATTTTACAGTTGATTTTGAGGATGAAGTCGCCAAAAAGATGACTTTTTTGAGATTCTTATTATTTTCTCTGTCTAAATTCGTCTTTTTCCTCAATGAAAACTCTTTTACCATAATAAAAAGTCTTGAAACTAATAAAATCAATTATCCTGCTTCATTTAAATCTCATGTAAAATCGATACTGTGTAGAATTTCACCTAATCAAAAGTTCACACTTTAATCCTTAAAATATAGCAGAATATAATTTATCTTAAATGAAAAGGAAATATTTAACACTGTTTGATTAAGTGGTTTTTCATGTATTGGTTTTTGTAGGGATTTTGTTTGATTGCATAGAGGATTTCATTATGAGCTGATATCAGTTAGAGAACGACTGGAAAACAAGCTGGGAGTAATGAACAGCTGTTTCATCTGTCCTAGTTTGCGACTCTTCATCAGTACGCATCCATCGGGGTTCGATTTTCTTTGTAAATGATCATTTTATAAATTATGCCTAGCCACTGCGTTCAGAACCTCAGAGAATAATACAGCAGGTTGAAGATGAGGCAGTAGCTAATCGAAGAAGACATTGCTAAATGGTCGCGCTCTATCGTGAATTGGCAGAAGTTAGAATTCATGGGCTGGCTACCGTGGCTCAATGGTCTACCAACTACCTTGCCTTATAACCAGAAGGTCCTGGGTTCGAACTATGGTGTGGGTGCGTACTGCTAGGTAGTCTTAAACTAGGACGAAACAGCCGTCTGGTAGTACATCCAGGTTTTCCATTGGTTCTCTAATTGATGTTAGCTGATGGTGAAATCCTCCATGCAATATCATGACTTTGTCCTTGATATTAATATCTTTGGTTTTGTCAACGAATTCATACACATCGTTGACGCTGTATTTCACTATCTTCCCATACAAATGGTTGCAGAATCTTTACTAACCATCTAACCCGTCCAATTCTGAATACAATTCACATAATAAAGCTGTACCTTTTTTATTTTAAATTTTTGTCCATTTTAGACTTCAGCATTAGTTAACCTTGCCGTTTTAACTGGACAACCAACAACCTATCCAGTATGGGTATATGGCTTAACGCATGATTTAAAGATTATTGATATTACATCTAAGGCGACATGTCATACTGGCGATGATGCTGTAATACACTTTGCTCAAGATATGTGTTCAAAGTTGGGTTTTTCAGGTGCAGAATTAGACGGTTCCCCAGGATTGCCATTAGTTGCTAAAATGGATGGTCGTAGTGCTACTGCCACCCTGTTGGTTTGGTTTCCCAAAGCTCCAGCCTTGAAGATGATTGTTGAAACGAGTACAAATAGTAATAATAATAATCATATTAATAACAATTATGATTCAAGTAATCAGGAGCCAAGTAATGTGATTACATTGAAACGTCTCGCTACTGAAGTTATTGCCTCACAGTAAGTTTGCTATTCTGCTAATTTAATTAATAATGTTTCTGTTGAGTTTTTCTAAGCAATATTGTATCTTCCACTGGGGAGATTTAATAAAAAATACTCTGATTCTTCCCTCAAACAAACTGGCTATCGATTCACCAGTGAAGTGCAAAGATTATTGATATTTATTCATTCTTTTGTGTTCCAAGTGTGACACAGCGTCTTAGTGGTATATCTTCACTATATCCCATTCTCTGAAGTCCTCTTTATCCGACTCTACGATTGCATATAGACTCCATCCTCTCCTGACACAATCTCCTCCATGTCACACTTGAACCAACGCCCAACTTATCGTTCCCCATGCAAGTTCAGAATGAGCTATGACATGGCGTGCGATGTCATCTGACGGTCTCCTCAGAGTGTATCCAGTCCATCTACATCTCCTTGTGCACCTTAGTTGAGTAATAGATTCTTCGTTAGTTGGTTTCCAGAGATTGTTGTTGCTAATTTTTTCTGGCTTGCCATCCACTTGATCGTTAGTATTGAACTAGTGAAGACAGCTATAGATGAAAGTACGCTGTCGTCTGTTGGAAATGCTTTCCGTGACTAACAGTGCAAGCTTCTGAGTCATTTATGATGTTGGAATTTGATTGATTGGTTACAAGATTTCATCATCAACTGACATCGGTAAGAGAACCATTGGAAAATCTGGCTGTAATGCCACACAGTTACTTCGTCCTAGTTTGTGACTACGCAGCAGTATGCACCCGCACCAGAGTTCGAAACCAGGAACTTCTGATTACAAGGAAAGGTAGCTATTAGACCACTGAGCCTCTGAGATCCAATCCAATGGCCAGCCCATGAATTCTAACTTCTGCCAATTCACGACATAGCTCAACCACTAGCGAATGTAATTGCTGGAGGAGTATTCATCCTCACACCCAACCTGCTGTACCCTACTGATCATGACTTCGCACTAAACTCACTTGCCACTGGTTTTGAAAATGCAAATTTTGTATATTGCTTCTGTATGCAAAAATATTACAAAACTAATTTCAGAGTAATAAATGTCTGTCTTGCCTTTCTGATTCTAGTTTCGAAATCCTCATCTTTTTGTGGCGTCCCAGTAGTTAAAACGATGCTTTCCAGTTATTTATCAAGTATTGGCTGGTTGGAGGATTTCATCATGAGCTTTACAGTAAGATGAAGGAGGTGACCTCCTTGCAAATTTATTCTGCTGATAATCATTAATGCTCGTTGTAGTTGGTCAGTTGCTTATCTTCATCACCGCCATCTTCTTTGTGTTTACTTGATATCTTATTCTTGTTGCCTGACTTCTCAGCCATGTTTTGGTTTTTGTCTGTTGATTTTTAGTTTGTGTAACACTAGGTACAAGGCATCCACGGACTCCAGATATTTAAGAGTCTTTCTGTTGCTTCGTTGCATTCCACTCCTCTCGCTCCCAATTGATAGGGTGTTTCGCACAAAACCAGTCTACCGTAATTAAGAATATCATCTCTGGAGTAAAAACAATCAGGCAGAATTATTGAGTAAAGTGAATAAACTAGTTTGAGCCCTCTGTAGCTGTTGAGGTTGTTTTGTCACTAAAATCAATTTATCACATAACAAATTTGAAAAATCCTGAACATTATTCTACTTTTTTTAAATACATGTGTGTGCTGAACAGTACTCTTTGTTAATTTTAAATATTTAAGGGACAAAAATCGATGTGCTCGATATTTTTATAAACGTTTACTGAATATAAAGGGATATTTTTACACATTTATGAGAAACTTTAGAAATCATCAAGACGATTATACTTGTAATGGATGAAGTATGATAGCGGAAGATCTGAACGTTTAATGTCACACAAATTCGAAGTATTACAAGCGAAAATCAACAAGTTGGAGGGGGAATATTGGAAAGATAAAAATGGATGATAACGGGAGTCACTTCTTTTGCTTATCAGACCAGGTAGTATCGTTTCATTTACAGACGGCGAGGATGACGATACCAAAGCTGACTATTATCGAAAAGGCAAGATAGATATTCATCACTCTGAGATCGAATGTCGAAATCTACTGCACTCTGCTTAACAAAGATGGTTAGGATTGTCAACACTAATCTCAAATCATTTAGTGGTTCTAAATGATTCAGAGATTTGGCGTGTGCCTCTCAACAGGCATTTATCAGCAGCTGTCATTGCTCTATTTTGAAGATCAGGTGATTTTTAAAAATTATTTTATTATTCTCTTAGGTTCTGAATGGAATATAGGGCTTCAACAAAACATCTGCACCTCCTTCTATTTTCTGCTGTCCTCTACAGCTTACTCCACGATTGACCATAATCTCTCATCTTATCCCTTAACTCACAACACCTCCTCCATGTCACCCTCATGCCGATGACCGACTCGTTTCTTTACATTCGGATTCCACTCTAGCGATGGCCTGTATTGTGCGCAATGTCATTCGAGGGCCTCCCCAATGGCTTATACCCTGTCCATCCCCATTTTCTGCTTCATTTTTGTTGAGCAATCAGCTCTTGCTTGTTGATTTGTTCCCAGACAGATTTTCTTGTTGTCAGTTTTTTCTGACTAGCTGGCCACTTGATCTTCGGTGTACAGACATCGAAGAAGGCAGTTGTTGATAGAAGTCTGCAGCAGGTTTTTGCAAATCCTTTTCGTGTCAAGCTGGCCAAGTTTCTGATCCGTATAGAAGAACTGACTGACTGCCTTCACTTTTGTGTTGAAAATCGGAATCTGAGTCTTTATACTGACTTAATGACAGCAGAAGATTTCTAAACTGGTTAGGCGTTGACGAAGGCTTATCTTGCCTTCCCGATTTTTGTTGGTTGACTGGCTTTGACATCTTCATCCATGCCGTTTGCCTATGATTGTAACTGCGTTTCTGTCAAACCTCTCCCGTTAATGGTGATTGATGCTGGTTGTTGTTGCTGTTCTTTCCATTGGTTATCTATCTTCATTACCTCCGTCTTCTTTATGTTCACCTGGAGTCCTGTCTTCAGTGACTGCTTCTTCAACGAGTTGGTTAGTTTTCGAGTTTGTTTGTGACATTAAAAATAAATCTTCTGCAAAATTCAGAGAATTTGTGAACATTGGGTTGAATCAAGTTGGTTGTGACTGCAAATACTCGCCGATGATATTGACCAGCGTTTGCACTATATATATATCACAAGTGAGAAGAACTTGGAATTCATGTAAGCCTCTTGGATTCTGTTCTAGTGGTTGAGTGGTTATTAGGTTCACCGCGTAACCTGAAGGCTTTCGGTTTAATCCCCTGTAGTGCCATAGGTGGTTACTGCTAAAGATTAACTGAATAGAGTGAACCAACTGTACTGTACTCACTGGATTTCGAAAGTTGCCTATCCGGCGTCACTAAAATCACTGTAAATCAACACTTGAAAATTTGATATGAAAGTTTGAAGGTACGAATATCGATTACAAGGGGCTGCTTAGAGACAAGATTACACAGGATTCGAAAACAGTTAACACGTGTATGCAAAATTAATATTTGATAACTGCAGAAATAATTTTTAAAGGCGAATAAAAGGTGATAATTATTTTCAACTCGATATGAATTACAAGAGGCTTAGAGACGCAGGGATACAACGAATTACAGGTGTGAACAAAATGAGCATGGAGACAAATTGAAATCAAAATTTTCAACTTGAAATATAAGTTAGGAGGTGTGAATATAGACAGATTACAAGAGGCATAGAAACAAAAAAGCTACACACAATTAGAATATAATTGTAAAATGGTTATTCTAAACGGATTACAAGTGTGATCAGGAGGAGCATAGAAACAAACTTAAAATAACTGATTTTATAACTGGAAAAATGGGATGAATTGAATGAAGGCAAAGAGAGAAAATTACACACAGAGATAACAAAACAAAGAAAAAACTGAAGGATAAAGGAACATACCGAACTAGGTGTACAGTAGTTTTAAAGGCTGGACTAGTTTCTTATGGACACATAGCTCCGACTTTTTGATGCATATGACGAGAGCTTCTGCAGAACAAAGAAGTCGGAAACACACTGCCTTTGGTGGTAGATTATTGTGTACTTTGTTAATGACTCTGAGTGATGAGTCAGTTGAGATTCTCTGACAGGTATTAACGAGGTGTTCACATATGGCGCTCCTAATTGAACCAGTGCCTCCTTTTTGCAGCCATGCTGGATGATGTTCTCTAACACGTTTTGATAGGACCCGCATAGAACGACCTATGTACCTAGCTCTGCTATAGTTTGGCCTTTGCTTCTAATATATTTTTTTACCACACATAATCACAAAACTAGTATGTGAGTCTATTTACTTCCACGTGCATCCACATACTTTTCAGTAAAACATTTTTTTATTTCACTGTCTGAATTTTACTTATTTCAGTTCAAATTTTCGTAAATCTTCATGGGCAAATCAAATCAACTCGACAGGATCTCTTCAATTTTTTCAATACTTTCGAGTTCGTATACTGGCACGGTGAGTTGAAGTCATGCAGACGAATTCTTAAGTTAATTTCTTCTGGTTTGTGTTTTAACAGTTAAATATATTTACTGATATTAATGCAAGATATTATAAGATGGCAGCAATTTTCAAAGAAAAAAGGAATTGAGTTGATTGAACACTATACCATGTAGATTACCAAACATTGCAATTAGTATGAAATTTCGAGTCTACTTTACCACTTATAATCATGTGAGTGTATTCACCCTCCTACCTTTTTTATTCTAATGTGATTTATCATGCATCTGGCATAGGTGTCAAGAAATATGTAAGTAAATGTAAAAATAAAATAAATAATGATAGTAGCAATAGTGATAATTATAATAATGATAACAATAATAATGATCATAATAGTAGTAATAATATTATTATTAATGACGACAATAAGGAATGTAAATCATAAGTAGTAATTCCATACAAGGAAGGAACCTCGGAAACCACCTTACACAGAATTCTTAACAAGGCAGGAATAAAAGTGACTAGCATTCAGTTACCCACAAACTCAATCAGAAACAAGCTTTGTCGGTTACAGGACCAATCCTGTAGAGCCTTTAAAACAAAACAATTTAGTTTATCGAATACCCTGTCTGCAATTATCCTCAGGTCAAAGTAGTAGAACAGGAGCAGTCAAACTAGCCGAGCATAAAAACATAGCAAAATCTAGGTTAGTTGACCCGAAACAGATAAGAAATCTAGAGGATAGTTCAGCTATAGCACTCACTGCATGCAATTACTCACAACACTGCCATGAAATAGGATGGGATAAGATGACAGTTTTAAAATCTAATATAACAGCAGTGTGGAGGGAGAGATTGATAACGGAAGCTTTGTTTATCAACTCAACTGCAAATACATGTAATAGGAATGATTCAACACCTGTCCAGTCGGATGTCTAGAAAATTCTACTCCTACCCCAACGACGACAAATAGGAGAGAACAAAGAAATTTATAAAATTCATGTTTCGAAGTCGTGTGATTATAATTGATGCAATGATTATGAACAATACATTTTGTTCGAAACTGTGTCATCCAGTAAATAATACTGTTTCTCAATGTGTGTACTAAATCGAATAAACAAACTAATATTTAATTACTCAATGGTTATGTTTCCTTCATGTATTTGAATTTCATTAAAATCAGAAAAACGTATCCAAGTTAATTTGATCGAACATTAAGTGGTATCACGCTTCTAGCCCTTTGTTTCATTCATATTGAGTTCTATATGTCTGTCAAGTTTGTCATTTAGCCACCATGCTAGTGGCTGAATGAACTATGATTTGTTTTCATTATATGGTTGGAGACAGTCAGCCACAGAAAGCTTTTAACCTACTTTTTGTACTTTTTGGTACTCACCTGTCAGCAAGCCTTATCTCCAATCTTCAAAGAATTCATCCCTTCCTTCTGAGCTTCAAACTAGTGTCATCCAGTGAGCTATTCGGGCTCACGATTGACTTCCTGTAAGACTGTGAATGATACTCCCGATCGCCTCTAACAACCTAATAAAAATTCAGGGTGCACCGTCATGGTGATTTACCTAGCATGATGGCCGCATAGAAAACATGACTAATAAAATTCAGTGCGTAATAAAAATTTGATGCATGACACTAGTTGTTTATCACGTAGTGTTCAGTTAAAGTATCTAATACAATCCTACAGGAAGTCAACTGACAGCCCTAATAGCTCACTGGTATCAATCTCTAACAGCGGATGACGTAGATTTGAATCTCACAGGAGATATGAGTTCCTTCAAGACTGCACATAACTGTTGATGATTGGTCAGTGCCAACAAGCACGGAACTTAATTCAGCTAAGGCTTCTTGTTGACTACCTGCATCCAGCCATCTAATAATGACTTAACTAGTGTGGAATGTATTTATTTTATATGATAAAAAGTTTCCTAAAGCGAAACGGATTCAAAGATTCAAGCAGTTTTCTTATCTGGCTATTAGACTTACATGACATGTATACGTCTTTCAATGGATCCTTGGAACTATGAACTAACTAGTCTACCAAAAATCAATCTCTTGAGTAGGTGGTTCAGCGGTGAAGTTATTCTCCTGATATATTTGCTACTGAATCTTGTTTAGTCCGTGGTAAGCGTAGTAAAGAGGGATAATTGGGCTTGAGGTTAACAGCCTCATCCCGTTTAACGTCATCCCTAGAACTGAAACTTCTATTCTAAACTTAAAGGAATGAAAACAAACCCAAATTGAAATCTAATTATCTACTTATTGTTTCATCTTTCCACTGAAATGTATTCGATTCGATCAAATATAGAGCTTATATAAGCTAATGTATGATAACCTTTATGGATTCCTAACAGCACAATGATGATGTTCAGTATGCAGATAAGCCAATCAGGTTCCAGCCCTCACAAGTAGCCAATATACAGTCCAGAAGTGGACCAATCAGAACTGGCCTACCTAAAACTAACGCCCACTATTTTATTAGTTATGAATACAGACTAATTGACATATCTATGATGATACTTTAAATCATACATGACTGTATGATATAAGTAATGCAAGCTGGGAAAAACAGGTGGCTGTATTTCAAGGCGCTAATAGTAAATTTCAGAATCTTTCTAACTCCCTTCAATAGTGATATTTTTTAGCCTTTTGAATCTGCGTTTTTTCACCTTAAATATAAACTACTAACTAGCCTTTATATTTTTTCGTTAACCTGAATTGTCTTTTTGATTCCTTCAATAAACTTAAAATGAACTAATCAACTGATTAACTAACTTACTAGCTAACTAACTGGTTACGAAAACTGCCGAGAAAAAGATAAATAAGTAATCAATCATTTTTTTAAAATAATAATCTTGAAAAAAGAGAGTGTTTTGAAAAAAAAAGAATCAAATTCGATCAGTATTCTTATTTATTTATTTATTTAACAGAACAAATAGGTCACATTGTAATCTGAAAGAGAGAGAGAAAGCGAGCGAAAAGAAGTGGGACTGAAGAGTGATTTTCTTCTGTTATGTTCACAGTTCACTGAATTTATTGACATTTAAAGTATAAAGGTGATACACAACTTTAAACAGAGTGGAATATAGATTGAAAAAATATTCCAAATTTTATACAAAGATGAATTTATATATGAATAAGTTAATCCATCATTGTCGATTGTTAAGTTTGATGTTTAAAGTGACTTCAGAGAGCGAATGACAGCCAAGGAGCGTTTGAATGGGTATGCAAGATCGCAAAGACGAGAATGCATCTGCGCCAGCTATTGAAAACTATTTTTAGCCATATCACCAAATGGTCTATTTATATGCTGATTCTTAGAATCAATCTCGAAGGCCCTGACTGGGCAGTCTATACATCACCATGTGGCTCACACTATGAATATATCTATATATTAATAAATTGAAGGTAACACACACATAAACTCACTAGTGGAGGGAATAAAATTCGTATTTGAAGCGGAAAATGAACAAGGGGAATTAGCTATGTTAGATTGTAATATAAAACGAATAGAGAAGGCAAACTACACACTAGTGTGTACAGAAAACCAACTCATTCTAATAGATACCTAGACTTTAATTCATCTCATCCGTCGACTGTTTAGGCAGGCTTATTTAAGTGTTTAACAAACCGAGCAGTAGCACTAAGTAGCACAAAAAAAGACCTAAATGATGAAATAAAACAGATAGAAGAAATGTTGGTATCTAATAACTATCCCACAAAATTCATTAGGAAGATCGAAAAAGGCCAAAAGCAAAATAAAAATAATTGTGAAACTAGTAATGATAACATAAATAAGAGAGAATATAAGTCATCTACAGTTATACCATATAAAGAGGGGACATCTGAGACCCTACGTGGGATTCCTAATAAAGCAGGAATTAGGGTCGTGGCATTCAAACCTACAACCTTACTCAGGGACAAGCTCTGTGGGTTAAAGGACCCTGTCGGTTGACCCAATTAGATAAAATAATAAATTTTACAAAATACCCTGCAATAACTGTGAGGTCAATTGTATAGGTCAAACTAGTAGATCGGGGGTAATCAGATTGTCGGAACATAAGAATTCAGCTCAGGTAAGGATGGTTGACCCTGAAAAGATAAGTAACTTAGGAAAAAAGCTTGGCAATCGCAATGCATGCGTTAACATATAACCACAAAATAGGATGGGAGAGGGTTAAAATTCTAAAAAGTAATCTAGGTAGGTGAAGAGAGGGGTTGATTACTGAATTCTTGTTCATCGAATGATCTACACCCAACACATGCAATAGGAATTATTCATCACTCATACCTGAAATATGGAAAATACTACTGCCAATCAAATCAAGTGAAAAATAATGGAACTATATAAATGAAGTTAGGAAGCCGTTTGAGTAGTACCTTGTTATAATCATGAGTGGCAATAAATTGTGCTCGGAACGTGGTCATCAGTAAATACTACTGTATAACACTGTGAGACTTTATCAAAACCAAAAATATGCCCATAATGGAATTACACTCTACCACAGTGCACAAGTTTAATTCTTATAATAACATTATAATATATTTTTTCCCATGCCTTTAATTAACCCAGAAATAATCTTCTGTTCAATAACCGTAAAAGCAAAAACGCAAGTTTTCCAGTATGATAATTGATTATTATTATTACTGTTGTTATTATTTTGTTTTACTCACATTCCTCTTCCCTATCTCTCCGTCGTTCTCCATCCCACTCTATATACCCCTTTATCTTTATATACACAAGTCTATCTCTGTTCAGGCATATCCTCCATATATGTGTAATATGCATAGACAGACGTACATACACACACACATACATATACACCAGCAGAAGTGTATATCTGTGTTTATATATTCCAAATTCATCTATTCATTGATCTGCTACTCTTCTACTTCTGATTAGAGTAAACTAGTAACAGCCATAAGAACACCACTACTCATTTGTTGTTTCGTAACATACCTAACCTCTTCATAGCCAATGAATATATATATGTATTGAAATAACAT